GTGTTTGTGTGAATTTTAATTTTTCTCTGCATGTCTATACTTTTCCTGAATTTCCTGCAATGTATTCCTTTTATAATGAGATTAAAAGGATTTTGTGTTTTTAGGGCAGAGGCACCACAGGTGCATGCATGGCCTAAGTTTCTGCTTGGCTGCAGGAGGTGTGGCGACCACAGCACATGCCACCTTCTGAGGCCATGCGGTACTTGACTCTCCCGGCACTGCCTTGCTTTTGAAGGCATCTAAAATCTCTCATTTTTTCCCACACCACATTTCACAGCTGGGTCATTCTGCTGAACTCAGCACAGGAGGACTCTCTCTCAGACTGGTTGGAAACTTTGGACACATTTGAAAACTGTCAACACAGTCTGTAAACACATCAGTTATAATGATTCTTTCCTAGGAACTTGACACACCCAGATGAACTCTCTTGTTATGACAGGAGAGAATTTCCTCTCAACATCTCCCTCATTTATTCAATACTCAAGAAATATCCATTGTGTGTCTGTCACACTAACAGGTGATGTGCTCAGCTCTGGGTATACAGTGATTAATAAACATTTCCACTGCTTTCATGAAGGTTACGCTCTACGAGGTACAAAGACATTAAACGAGGGAACACACAACTAAATTTGTACTTACAAGGGTAAGTGACAACTATGAGATACAATAATTGATTTCTATTCCACTAGAGAAAATAAAGGGGCCTTAGTTTAAATGGATTAACAGAGGCCCCTCTGAAGAAATGACATGTGAGGGAAACTAAGGGAAGAATGTTCCAGGCAGGAAAGTGCAAAGCCATAAGGCAAGCAAGAGACTCGTGAATTCCAGGAGCAGAATAAAACCCAGTGTGGCTGGGGCGTTGTGAGTAATGGGATTGGAGGGATGGCTAGGACCACCATTGTCTTTGAGGAGATGGAAGGCAGAGAATAGATTTTGAAGAGACAAATGGCCATTAAGGTATGAAGCAAATGGATTTGGAAATCCTCTCGCAAAACATCCTGAATGAGGGGCCAATGGTTACTTTGAGCCTAAGTGTGAATCCCCTCTGAAAAAGCATGCATATCATTCTATATCATTCTTATAAAACTTGGATAATCAAGGGTGAGAAATTTCAAAAGTTTATCTTAAAAACTTCAAGCAACAAGAAGTCACTTGAAGCTTTTAAAATAAGCTTTTGAAATTCTGTAATTTTTTTGTGACTAAACAACGTTTTTAAAATATGAGAGTTTCTGTGGGTTCTCAACTTGTGAGAAAGTAGAAATGTAATTTCAACATTCAACTGGAATAAGAACTGTATGATTTATGAGAAAAACAGTTTCTAAACATAAAGTTAATATAAAAACATGGCACTGGCACTACTGTAATAGCACGCAAAACAAATTATGGGCAAGCAAAAAGAAAAAAGAGAAAAAGATGCATGGGCATAACAGCAGGCTTTTTCTAAAATTAGAAAGATTAAGTTAACCAAAAATTGTAGGGTTAATTGTGAACACCAGTTTCTCACACACAAACACACACACACGCACGCATACATGCACACACACATACACACAAACATTTAATGCTTGTTACATGTCATACCTACAATGACTCTTCCAGGTAATTTATTATCCTTACTTATAAACAGATCATGTAAAGGACAGTATGAAGAATGATTTCTATTTGCTTTTTCTTCAGATAGTGGCCTTTTATTTCAGTTACTACCTTTCAAATAATCTCTTGGCGTACCAAGGAACAGGCCTGATCCAGAGGTGAATCAGCTATTACCACTAAAAAGATGTCCCTGTACACCCCACCATGGTCCTCTCTATGGAAGGAGAATCCAGAGAATCGGAAATGTACCCTCATGACAAAGAGAAGATCACCTAATTATTAACAGTTTGCTCAGTAATCAAAAGACAACAAAACAAAACAGAGGTCGCATAGCTTGCTGTACCTACTCAGAGCTACAGATTGTAATAGAGGAAAAGTTTTTCTAACTATGTGTGGTGATGCACACCTATAATCTCAGCTACTCGAGAGGCCAAGCTGAGGAATTGCTTACGCCCAAGAGTTCCAGACAAGCTTGGGCAACATAGCAAGACTTCCTCTCAAGAAATAAAAATAGAAGCTTTTGTGAACTGTAACTCATTATCTAATGGCATTGACCACCATTCGCATTAAAAAGGAAATAGAGACACAACTCAAGATGGAAGAAAGTCAATGGAGCCTCAAAACATCATCCCCACCAGAAGAGCTCCTCTGAGTGTGAGATTCGGATACGCCACAGACTAGCATTGAACCTCTTGAATAACTCCATAGAAATGTATTGCCAATTGACGAGTTGATGGGTGCAGCATGCCAACATGGCACAAGTATACATATATAACAAACCTGCACATTATGCACATGTACCCTAGAACTTAAAGTATAATAATAATAAAAAAATTAAAAAAAAAAAAAAGAAATGTATTGCCAAACCTTAGATCTCACTTTAAAACCTGGCAGTTATTACGTCTTAAAGAAATCATGGGAAAGTTTCTCTTTCTGTTACTGGAATTTTTTTTCTTCAAGTATAATCATTTCTCTTTACATACAACGCACAACCCAAAGAAGGGATACATTGTGAGGTTTCTACTAACATGGAGGTTATAGACACCTAATGCTAATTCTCCTCATCTGGTAATTGATGTTCAAGCTTCCTGTTTTCATCTCAAAATGTGTACTTAAAAAGAAAACCTCAGTATTAGGATTATTTCCCTCCAACAAGTAGACAAAATCAATCAACAATGAAATAGAATTTTTAAAGTTGTAAACCCATCATGTTAAGGTGCTTACACCAACAGCGTTACCTGCACACTGACCACAATGACCAAAGATGTGGCCATAGTAACTGCAAAGGACTGGTAATCAGCAATATGTTGCCCATCTTCTCCAGCCACGTTGTAAAAGGCCCCATAGGGGATGAAGAAAAGGGCTAATGAGGTGTAGATTCCATGTAACACGCAAATGAAAAATTTACGCTTGTTAAAAAGTAGATTCAGCTGTCCTGGTTCGTAGAGCTGGGGACAGTCCATGCTGTTCTGGTCACTCACATCCTGTAAACAGAGTGTAATTTCAGTGGAGAAGGATTAAAAAGAGTCAGAGAGGCCTTGTATTCCCTATCTTCAGAAATAGCAAATGCCTGTTTAAACATGTCCTAATATGCACTACTCACTGGGCCAGAACAGGACGTTATCTTGTTTGTATTCCCACAATAAACCAGAAGATAATAAAATGATCTCTACTTTACAGAGAAGGAGCTTGAGTCTCCAAGAGAGATTCATGAGAGGTCACACAGCTCGTAAGTAGCAGCACCAGGGTTTGATTTGAGCCTAGCTATTTGGCTTCAAATTGAAGTTTCTTTCCTACACTCTCCTGCAGGCTGTCAGAAGCATTCATGCTCCCAGAATTCCAGCACATCATGGGCAGCCAATGGGCCCCAGAAGTTAATTGCCAAGGTAGTGAGTGGTAGTGACCAGGAGATGACAGCAGAGAGCTGTGGAGTCAGAACGGTCAAATCAGAGCTCATGACTTTGGAGGGAAGTGTGCAGGAAGAGAAGCAGAGAAAAGGGGAAACTGCATTTGGGATTCCAGGTGAGAAGGAGGCTGGGATGAGGATCCTACCCAGTGAGAATTTTAACAGCAGTTACCAGGTGTTCAGGACAAAGAAATAATATAGACAGAATGAGAAGGTTTGACACCAACCAGGTCCCAAGAGAAACTAAATGCTTCTCAAACCCAATGTGCACGCAAATCGCCTGTGAAACAGATTGTGATTCAATAGGGCTGAGGGCCCAAGACTGCATTTCCAGCCATCTCCAAAGTAATGTTGATAACCACAGTGAGCACCAGAGCCAAATGCCAAAAAACCACCAGGAACATCAGAGGACCACAGGTGGAAGAGAAGTGGCAAAGCGGAAGCAACACAGGTGGTGAACTATTGTGGGAGAAGAACATTCCCCTTCCTGCTTGTGGGATGGCCCAGGTCTCTCCTGAGTCCCATGGAAAAACACTGGCATATTCTCTTTAGAAAGTCCTGTTTTGAGATGCTTTTGGATGCTTGTTCCCCTAGTTCAGTGACTGAGGGTTACATGCGCAGGCTTTGAAACAAGACAGTCATGAGCTCAATCCCTGGTAGCGGGTTTAGCTGGTGTGTTATCTTAAACCTGTTACTTAATCCACCCGAGCCTTGGTTTCCTCATGCCCAGAAATGCAAACACCACCACCTCCCTCATGGAACTATCGCCATGATTAAACCAGTATGTAAAGTATTTAGTAGAGTTCTTGCCATATCACAAGTAATAAATATGCCAGATGCTTCTATAAATAATTAATAAAATAATGATAAGAACAATAGCAATAATGTAGCAACCTCAAAGTTAGGAGGCCTGGCTCTAGGCTTAGCTGTGTCGCTTATTGGCTGTGTGGCTTTAGGGAAATGACCCTCCAAGGCTTGGTATCTGCCTTAAAAAATGAGCAGATCTGTTGACGATTGCTGAGGCCTGTCCGGCATAGCATTCCACAATCCTGTGATCTGTTTAAGGGCCGAGGTTGACAAAGCAGGAAAGGAGAGGAGCAGACACTCAACTTGATGGTAATAGGAAGCCTTATTATATTTTTTTTTGAATTGCACAACCACCATCTTTTCCCAGAAACTGCTTTATTTTTATTATTTTATTCCACATTCTGGGCAGCTACAAAGCTCCAAGAAAAGAAACACTTGTAAACATGGGCACTGAGAAATGAATGTGCTTAATCCTTTACATCTAAGGTCTGCAGAAGTTCATTACTTTTTGTATAATTCCACAAAATATGCCTTTCACAAACTGCCCTTTTCACGTATGAGAAGAGAGACTACAACTGACTACAAAGCCAGCCGAATGGGAGACTGGAGTGAGCTCATAATGTGAAGATTTATATTTTGCAATAGACAGCTTTGGGCCAGAAAATGAAGCCTAGCAAACAGGTCTAACAACAGCCTGGAGAAAATCTGGTCTCCTTAAAAATAATTTTTTTAAAAAAACAAAAATCCTTTTTAAAAATAAGACACTCTAATTGTGCCACGGAAATTCCACTGGCTAGTCTTTCACTTCCCCACAGGCAGCCAGACTTTTTCCCCTTCCCAGGAAGTCCCTTCCAAGGCTCTGAGTATGCCAAGGATCTACCATTTTTGTGATTGATTCTCTCCTTTCTCCCCACTCAAGCACTTTGATGCTGGGACAAAAGAAATCCATGCTTTTTCTTTCCATGGCTATGGGGCTTCTCGTCCTCCTCTCCCACTGGCAGACTGCTCTTCTGGTCTGTGGCTCCTTTCTGAGCTGTGTGTAACAAGGAAGTCTCACTGCAGACGTTAGCCCCCTGTGTTCCAACCTAGCTCCATGATATTCTATCCTTGCATGGTTCTTTATAAGCTCTCAGAGGCTAAGGCAGCATTTCCCTGTGTGTGAACCACACACACTAGTTCTATGACATATTAATTGATAGGTGCTATATGAAAGCAAAAAAAAAAGTACAGTCATAGAAGTTTGGGAAATGCTGGGTTAAAATGAAGTTAGAGATTACTTTGTACAGGACTTCTACAGCCTTTAGAACAATACATGGGGTACGAATCTCTAAGAGGAGAGTAACCAACTTTTATCAAGTAATGCTTTCGGGGAAGCTAGGGTTCAAGGGTGAGGAAGGCACAGTGGACCTGAAAGCATTTGTGATCCATACAAAAGCAACTAAAACAACTGCATTCCTAAGGCTTCTACTTAGAATTGTGTCTTCTACTTAGAACCCACAAAAAACCAAAAGGCATAAAAGAGAAGCTAAGTTATAAAGATGGAAAAAACATACCTGGTCAAAAATCCCCATGGCTAAAACAGGCAGTGATGTGTAAACAATGTTAAAAAGGGTGATGAACCACTGGTCATAAACAGTCTGAAAAGAAATATAACATATAAATGAGAAAGACCATCCATAGTAGTGAGAATATTCACGTTTAAGTCGTGAAAATATTCACCTTTAGGTTAAATAACCAGGTTTTCTGAGGTAAGTGGGAGTTGACTTTTGGAATCAGACAAATATGAGTTCTCTCCTGGACCTGCCTCTTATCAGCTCTGCTGCCTTAATGGGATACTAGATCTCTCTAAATAGCAATTTCATTATCTCTAAAGTGGTGTATACCCTTCCTGCAGCATGGCAGTGAGGACAATAATACATGCAGTACCCCTAACATAGTGCGGGACACGTATGAGCCCCCTGACCTTGTGGTGGGTTGCTATTTCATTCTCCAGGCTTTCAGTGGCTTGTAATGAGTCCAATTATCTGACCTAAGTGGTAAACAAAGGATTCACTAAAATCTTCAGAGATAAGTATAGTAATGAGCCTGTTATTTCTATCCTGTTTTAAAATGGAGAGGTTTTTGCGGGGGAGTGGTTTAAAGTAAGATGGGCATGAAGCTACATGCTCACTATACTGGGCATAAACAAGCAAAACAATAAAAATATCCCCTCACACCTTTGTAGAGTAATTACACAAGAATTCCCTGCATGGGCCTCACTAAAAGTCAATGAGGCATGTGGAGCAGGCATATATCCCCATTTTGCCAATGAGTACACACAGATGTGGAAACAGAACCTTTCAGTTACAGCGCTTATTACGGACAAAAGCAAAAATTAAAATCCAGGTCTTCAGCTGCTAACCAATGCCCCTTTTACCACTCCATCATTCATTCACTTATTCATTCATTCAATATTTACTGATAAACTGCTATGTGCTAAGCATTAGGTTCTAGTCAATGATAATTCAGCATGATCAATCAAATAAAAATTCCTCACGAAATGTACATTCTAATGCAAAGGGAAGGGAATAAACAAGATCAAATTTACAGAGAGCAGGAGGACTGTGTGAGTAAATTAGTTAGAAGGTAGTAAGTGCTAGAGAGGAAAGGGGATAGGGAATGTGGGAGGGCTGTAATTGTAATACAGGGACTGGAGAAAGTCTCACTGAGAAGTGAATTTGAGATAAGATCTGAAGGAAATGGGCCTAACATGCAGCTTTCTGAAACAGCTGGAAATGCTGGGACATCCAGCATTCCATACTGCAAGTAGGCCCCATGAAACAATCCTAAGGCAAGAAAGCATCCACTGTGCTCAGAGAACAGCAAGGTGGGCTGGTTGGGTAGAGCAGAGTGACCTGTAGGAAGAATAATGGATGTCAGGAGGTAAGAAGAACAATCCTATGTAACTAAACATGGCTTATTACCTAAGAGAAAGTAGAAGACATCAGAGGACTTTAAGCAAAAGAGCAACCTGGTCTTATTTACATTTTAACAGGATCACTCTGGATGCTATGCCGAGAAGCAACTGAAGAGAGAGGTGGAAATGGGAAAGCTTAACACTCAGAGTAACCGTTTCTAATAACGAATTTTAAGTTCTGTGCATGGTAACTCCCCTTTGTTACTCTCTGATTCCTATTTTCATCATCTGGTCTAAACCCAGCTGTAAGGATTTAGAAAGAGGGACTATATCCAATGGCACGCTGATAAATGTTTAACAACAGACTAAAAAAAAAAAAAAAAAAAGCCTTGATTTGTAGCGTTTGCCATTTTCCATGGTGTAAATATTCCTCCATGACTGATTTCAAGCAGTGATGCCACTGAATGTGGAGTTGAGACATATTCACCATTATACAGTATTTATACAATACAGACCCAATATAATCTCAAGAGCATAAATAGTAAAACATGGGAAAATAATTAGGAAGGGATTCATTTTGAGTATATTAACTGTCTTTTGTTTTTAATATAACTTAAATTGTACATTTACATAATATAACTTTTAATAATGGCTGTATTTAACCACTGGCTCACAAAATTCCTGAAGATTTAACAATCAGCTCTTGTGAATCAATATGGGCCAGTTCCAAGATACCACAGCCTAGGTCCATGCCGGGAGCAAAGTGGTACAAGACAGCAGAAGCCACCTGAAGGATAATGCACTCAACGTGGCATGAGAGAACTTGCAGAAGGGCAGGGCAGTAGTCCACTAGTCACACAACCATGAGAACAGACTGGAAAAGCTGGCTGGCACTCCCTGGAACCCCCCTGGGTATTTAGCAGAGGTATCTGAAAGAAGCCTGAATTTATCGTACATGATAGGGGGCACGTACCATAATAATTGATTCATACCAAACCTCCTGCTGAAGATAACGAAAAAAGTTGAGAAAAAACAAAAGCATCTTCATCAAAGTATCAGTGAACTAACAAGGCAGTGGGGAATGACTGGTCAGGATCAAAAAGAGAATTAGAACTTAATAACTATCTCAAGGCCTAGGGTAATGCTATTCTTCTCTAGACTCTATATTTATTTCCTTATACCAGCTGTTGAGGATAGAATGAAGGCCTGATATTTTCTGGGTTAGCCAACTATCCTGCTATGACAGAGTCTGTGACCTCACTGCTGGGAGGCTGCCTTTGGGTCCTAGCCCGGAGTAGGAAGGGTTTCATCATGATCTCTACCCTTGATGGGCACTGAACCTTCTCCCTTCAGCCCAGGAAACTACTGAAGGCACAGCTCAGTCTGTGAATTGCCCCCTGTAGATAATCAACACTCCCAAGGTACATGGTTCAGAGCAGTGTGACCCTACAGGGTCCCAGCCCAGAGCAGCAGTTGTGACAGGGTCCCAGTATCCAATTCCTATCTATCCTCAAGAGTCTACCAAAACTGCAGCTCAGCCTCTGTATCTCCCTTCTGATGAGTGAATGTGTCCAACCCTACTTCTAGATACATATGTTCACAAATGTCTATCTTGGTGCAGCAGGATACACATAAAAATACTCATAGCAGCTACTGGTCGTAATAGTCCCCAAACATCAAGTATGGGATAAAGATATTATCACCTATCGATACAACAGAATACTGTAGAATAATGAAAAGCAAAGAATTATAACTATATCCAAAAACATAAATGAATAAAAACTACACATAATATTGAGCAAAAGAAGCCAGATACAAAGGTATAATTGCATTTAAATACAGTGCGAAAGTATGAAAATCTACTCCTATGTTGTTCTGGAACTCCTAATCATATAGTAAAATTATAAAACAGAAGAAACGTGACTATAAGATGGCAGGGTAATGGTCACCTCTAGAGGATTGGAAAAGAGGTCTCAAGGAAAAACCGGGGAGCTCTTGTTTGGAAATGTTATATTTATTGCAGTGGATCATGGTACATGGGTGCTCATTTCATAACAATTTAAGCTGATATTTACATACTTTTTAATATATTTGTTAAACTTTGCAAATAATAAAAAAATTAAAAATTAAACATGTGACCTTATTTTATAGTTATAGCCCAGTGAGACTTCAGAAAGTAGGAAGATACCAAAAATCCTGATGCCCAGGCCACACCCCAGGCCAGTTAAATCAGTATCTCTGGGAGAAGGATCTAAGTTTTGGTCATTTTAAATTTTTCCCAGGTAATTCCAATGTGACACCAAGATTGGGAATTACACTCACTTTCTTTTTTTTTTTTTTTTTTAATCAGAGCAGCTGACACAAATCTTCAACCCGTTGATGATGGCATCTGACAGTTTCAGCTATTAAGAAGAGAGAAAGAATCTGAGAAATTATGGCATACTCAACTGTGGACAGCTGAGTCTGGCATAGTGTGCCCTCATCATCACAAACAGGCTCGCATTACAAGCTACACTTATTCGACAACTATCAGCATTTGTCAACTGGCACCCAGATTTGAAGCCTCATTTCACAACTGGAGCAAGAGAGGACAGGAAGGAAAAATCAGAATAAGGTTTCAATGAGTTTCTGCAAATTCTCAGAAATCAGTGTCACAATAACAAAAAGAAAAAAAAATAGCTGCTATTTACTAAACATCTACTCTGTGCCATTTTAAGTGCTTTACATATAGCGTCTCATTAAATTTTAACAACCCCATGAGGTAGGTACTGTTAACAGTTCTCAGTTTATAAATGGGAAAACTGAGGGCTATCAAGGTTAGGAGATGGCTCAATGCCATACCTTAAATGCAAAGGTTTTCTCCAGGATGTGCTTATTTCACATTGCATGCCTGTATCAAAATATCTCATGTACCTAATAAATACATACACCTACTATGTACCCACAATTTTTTAATTATATTTTTAAAAACCCAAAGGGGAAAAAAAGGTTTTCCAAGTGTAGTTCAGAACATTTTAGGGGATCCATAATGTCAAAACTATTTTCAGAATAATACAAAAAGTTATGTATTTACCCTTTCACCCCATTCTCTCATGAGTGTATGATATGTGACATCACAGCTGGCTGAATGCAGGTGATATGAGAACCCAGGTGTTTTCTATTATGTTAACTAGTTTTACAAAAGTGTGAAACAATGGCATTCTTCCCATTAACTTGTTTTTTTTTTCAGAAAATATAAGCATTTTTCTTAAAAATATGTTACTTTTGTAAACGTGTCATGGGTTCACCATTTTTTAACAAATTAATAAAAGTGTTTAGATTTTTTTCTTCATTTTCATTCCTAAGATGATACATATTGATAGTGGGGTCCTGAGATCACAAAGTTTGAGAACTGTCAGCCAAGCAAGTGTCAGAGCCAACTCCAAGCCTATGAACTTTAGTGCCCACAACATTGACCACTGCATGAAACCACCTCTCTCAATCAGTGGTGTCATTTGGAAAGTTTCCTTGGCCTGGCATGGTGGCTCATACCTGTAATCTCAACACTTTGGGGGGTCGAGGCTAGTGGATCACTTGAGCTCAGGAGTTCAAGACCAGCCTTGGCAACATGGTGAAAACCTCTCTACCAAAAATACAAAAAATTGGCTGGTTGTGGTGGTGTGCACCTGTGGTCCTGGCTACTAGGGAGGCTGAGGCAGGAGAATCACTTGAAAGTGGGAGGCAGAGGCTGCAGTGAGCCGAGATCACACCACTGCACTCTAGCCTGGGTGACAGAAGTGAAACCCTGTCTCCAAAAAAAAAAAATAAGTTTTCTTGAAGGCTTTTTCCCTCACCTTGTCTAACATAATTGAGAGCATACAATAAACACAATTTTATATGCTGTTTTTTGGCATTTAAAACAGGGCTCCCCAACAGCCTATAACAGTCCATAGCCTGTCACCACCTGCGGCACAACAGGTGAGCGGCAGGCAAGCCAGCCTGAGCTCCACCTCCTATCAGATGAGCAGCTGCATAAGATTCTCATAGGAGCACGAACCCTATTGTGAACTGTGCATGCCAGTTCTATGCCTGATGATCTGAGGTGGAACAGTCTCATCCCAAAACCATCCCCCGTCTGTGGAAAATTGTCTTCCATGAAACCATCCCCTGGTACCAAAAAGATTGGGGACCACTGATTTAAAATAACAACATTTGCATTGACCTGGCTTAAAACCCTCTAACGGCTTTCCATTTTACTTGGAATGAATCCAGACTCCCTATTCATCATGTCCTAAGAGCCCTTCCTGGTCCCCTGCCTGCCAGCCTCTTCAACTTCACCTCCCAACGTTCTCACCCTCCCTCACCTAGCTGAGGCTTCGCTGATGGGCTTTCTCCAACTTAATCGGCTCATTCCTGCCTCAGGACATTTGCATTGGCTGTGCCCTCTGCCTGGAACACTTTAATCCCAAGGTATTCATATGGAAGTTTCCTCTGAACACTTGGGTCACAGTTCCAGTGTCACCTCACCCTCTCGATGAGACCTTTTACATTACCAAGTTCTTTCTTAACAATTCTGATATTATCTTACTGATTTCTTTCTTTATTATCTGTCTTCATCCCACTAGAATATAATCTCCATGAAAACAGAAATTTACTCACAACTACAATTTTAATGCCCAGAGCAGGATCTAGCCATTGGTAGATACTCTACAAATATTTGTTGACTATAGGTGCTCTATAAATACTTGTTGAATTAATTATTTTACAACTTTTTAGTAAATGCTACATATTTAACTTTTTACTAGGCATTTTCCCACAGATGCACCATAGATTCAAACTCAATATATCAAGACGAGAGCTCATCCTCATACTACCTTAACCAGTTGCCCCTCCTGGGTTTCCTATACCAGTATCTGATACCATCACATCCACCCCAGCATCCAAATCAGAAATCTGAGATTTCTCCCTCTCCCCAACACACCATATCAAATCACTCCCCAAATACCTGACGGCTTGTGTTCCTGCCCAAGCTATGCTTCACTTCTGGAACTTTCCTCCTGTTGTCCCCTCTGCTGGGATGCCCATCCTCTTACTTCTTATCTGCTTCAATATGTTTGATCCTGGAAGGGTCAGCATGGGATGGGGGGGTGAGGAGGTCTTCCAGGAAGACTTTCTGAGCCCTGGCCACTCCCTACCTCTGTGAGTGGCTTGCAGACCACTCATCGGTAGTTCCATGATGCCCCCATACCTCACTGCTTCTTAACTCCTGACTTACAATTATTTATATGCTGGTTCCCAGCCCCGTCTCACAAGACTGCGAGCTACTTGAGAGCGGGTAATCTAACTGACCTATGGGGGCCAAGAACCAAACTCAGCACCTGCTCAATAAAAGGAAGCTAGTGTCTTAAGGGTAAAGGAGTCAGCAGACAGCTGTGTGGACTTGAGTAGGATACTGAATCTCTTTGAGTCTTGGTTTCCTCAGCTATATAATCAGGATTATAGGGAGGCTGTGAGTATTCGATGAAATGAGGTAAATGCCCCTACAGCACCTGAAAGACAGTGCTCAATAAGTGAGCACCATATGATGGAAGGAAGAAAGGAGGGAGGACAGGGGGAGCATGCAAGGATCCAAGCTTCAAGCGATGTGTTTAATGAGTAAATAAAAAGGTACATTTTCATGCTAATTATATTTTTACAAAAATAGAATTCTTTATTGAGACAATTAACCATAGATATTTATTTCTATAATAAACTATGGTAGCCATGAGATCCATATAACATCAGAACAAGATTTAAAGAAAAATTAGTACCTTGGTACAATTACTTTCTTCATGAATACTTAATTATATCAATCACTGTTCACTCTAATTATGGTTTTTATCTCAGGATCTACCAAAATGTGTTAACCTGAGTCCTTTACCTTAGAAACCAAATTTGCCAGTTATGGGCATTGGCTTAGCACAGTTTAGACTTCAGGGTCTTTCACAGAAATTAAGGCTACAAGCAATATATATATATTTTTTTCAGACGGAGTTTCGCTCTTTTGCCCAGGCTGGGGTGAAGTGGCATGATCTCAGCTCACTGCAACCTCCGCCCTCCGGGTTCAAGCAATTCTCCTGCCTCAGCCTCCCAAGTAGTTGGGATGACAGGTGCCTGCCACCATGCCTGGCTAATTTTTGTATTTTTAGTAGAGACGGGGTTTCACCATGTGGCCAGGCTGGTCTTGAACTCCTGACCTCAGGTGATCCACCTGCCTGGGCCTCCCAAAGTGCTGGGATTACAAGCATAAACCACTGCTCCCGGTCAAGCAATGTTTCTTCTACAACAGGTTTCTGTTCAAGAATCCTTGCAAGAGATCTGCAGCTACTCAAATAGCTATTCTAGTAAATGCCCCCCTTCTTCTTGCGGTCCTTAAATCCCCTTGGAAAAATTTTAAGTCCCCCTTCTGGTGACTAGGACTAGCTGAGAGGGGCACACGAGCCCCGATCAACCTCCCTGTTTCTCCCCTTCCGAGCATGCTCAGACATTTTACCACCTCTTCTTCCTTCCCAACCCACCCAACACAGGTTAATCAGATGCCCTGAAGAGAGGGGAGGGTGGGGGTTGAGGGGTGAGGATTCTTTTCAGATTTCTAGGCTGACACTCTGATTTTGGGTGACTCAAATTGTTTCTATGAAAGGAGTCCCACAAAAAACTCTTTTCCCTAGGGCACCTGTACTCACAGGGGAAGCCACGCCACCTCTGCCTCCGAAATATTTGTTCCCTATCTCCAATATTCTGAACAAGAGAGAAAAGCCATGCTACTATAAGATGTCACCGGTCTGTTTAAAATCCTATAAGCGTCTCTTCACAGATCAGAAAAAAAAGAGGGAGGAGAGTTCATTTTTCCAACTTCACTGTTTTTCTATTTAAGGAAAGCTTCTCCTTGCTCCCTTCTTTATGGGAGCAATTTATCAGCCTTATCAACCATTTTATAAAGTTAAAAATACTCCAGCTACAAATTACAATCTAAAAACAGCTTGGAGAACACAAAACCTGTGATTTATAGAATGACACATTTAAATAAACCTTAATAAAGTTCTTAAACAGCTACAAAAGGCTTTCTGCTCTTTCTGCTCGACCACTGGCCGAGCTCCTTGTTCAAATAACAAGATGAACTTACTACCTCTTTGGAGATATGTATCCCCCTTTTCCTATGTGTTGCAGAGAAAACCTATCTAATGACCTTTTGGGGGACTTAAAAAGCATTTGTCATTTAAAGAAAACACACTGTGGAATAAATATGAGGCGCTTAGCCTCAGCACATCTGTGATTGATTTGTGTAATTAGTAAAAACCAGCTCGCGGCATCCAGGAGGAGTGACCCAGGCCTGAACACTCGTCCAGTTCTGGACTTTCCCCAGAGCACATCTGGAAGGTGAGGGGGAGCAGAGCTGCCATGCCAGGTGGAGATGGGCTCACAGGTAACCAAATCCATGAAGTCATCAAAGCCTTAAGATTAGTCACACTCTTTCATGTCACTTTCCAAACTTTTTGTTGTTTTATTATACTGTTTGACAGAACTAAAGTTTTTCCAGCCTTGACAAGATAATTGCTTCCATATCACAGTAGAATTGAAGAAAAAAAAAAAAACCATACACAGCCCTGTATCTCACTGACAATGATAAATTGTTATCAGATAATATCATTTCACAAGTACACAGTACCAGTAGTTGCATAGTTTTGAGCATGAATTTTCTAAATAGGACCTCAACCAATTTTTTTTTAATTTAGCTGTATCCTTGGTGGGGGACAGTTCCTCTTTATGAAAAGTCCTGAGGGCATAGGGTGCTTTTAAAATAAGTTACAGGTATAAATAGTGACTCCAAACCCACAGTGAACTCCACAAAACTCATATGGGTTTCAATAATAGATTGGGATAAGGCATGTCCTTAAAAGGCACCCATGATTCAGTTTAGAGACTTAGTCTCCTTTATCCAAATGTCTCTGGTCCAGAAATCTGGCTGGAAATCTCATTAGAACAAATTTAATTTAATTTGTTTCTCAGTGGCAGTTGAGTTGGAGCATTTGCCAGCAGAAGGTGTCCTCAAGCTTCCAGACGATTCTACAAAACAGTTTGCCTAGGGACAGGCCCGCCCCTCCCACAGCGCTGAGCTATGACACTCCGCACAAGACATGAAGTCTCTTTCAATAGAGGGCTCATTTCCTCCACATAGTCATATCGAACTGAGTGTTTCTGGACGTTTCTCCTTTAGATTCCAAATAAAGGAAACATTTGCTGATTAGGGGTTTAGGGAAGACAGTTTTTTTTTTAAAAAAAAAAAAAAAAAAAGGATATAGCCATTAG